CCCCAAAACCCCAAAACCCCAAAACCCCATTATTAAACATCTTGTATCAAAAGGGGATTATCAAAAATTAATTCATGAATTTCATAAATAATAATTAAAATAATGGAAGAATTAAAAGGTGAAAATTTTGACCCGCCTAATCCCATATATCTTGAGGAAGATGAAGCTACGAGTGACTAGTTGATACAAATGAGAAAAGCAAGTAACTAGATTGAAGCAGTGTCAAACATCTACTAGATTTCTTTGGATACTGCAAAATCATTTAAAGCATATCAGTTGCTAACTTCAAAATAAAATCTTGCGCTAATTAATTTGGAAAATATCAAAGCAGCATTGGAATTATCTTAATCAGTCAAAGGTGACAATTAGGAATAATAATAAATCCAAAATCCAGAAAATCAAAGTGAATAAAATAATCAACTGGCTATACTAAGTAGTGATGTTTTAATATTAGATCAGACAATAAAAAATTAGTTTCTAATGGTGGTGACTTAAGATAGTAAAATCAAAGTCAAACTTGAGGAAATTAGATTTAATTATTAAGATCATTCGAGAGCTATTGTAAAGCATTTTTATGAAAATATAATCATCAAGTAGCTTACGACTATAATGATATAATTTTAGCACTTTGGGACAAATTTGAAAGGGTTTGAATAATAGAAAATGCAGACATTCTATTCTAAGGATTCATTTACCATTAAAAATGAGATGGAAGTATTTAGTGGTTTAGGGCTAAGTCTAAATTAAAATGATGAGAAGTCTTATATCTAGCTAGATAGTGTATATATGTTTAGACAAAAGAAGACGCTTAAAGATATCATTAATAAACTGAAAGAAAGAAATTATGAAGAAGATAAGATTACTTAATTTATCAAAGATATACTAAGTTGGAGCTAATTTTTATCCTTGATAGATAAGAAGACAATATATAATGGATATCAATTTGAACAAGATTTGATGCTACTTGATCTAACTATTGATACCGAAAAATAAAAGTTAAATTAAGATGCTATAACATACTTAGAGTCACTTAGCAAAGAAAAAGATAACCCAACTGAAGGATAGATCATAGAGGGTCTGAAAGTCAAATTTCATGATATAATTTTGCCAATTGAAACTATGGAAATTTTATCACCTTATGACTTTAAGAAAAGACTGGTATATCCAGAGCTGAAAAGCTTAGTGGAAAGAAATCCAGAAGAATATCTTTTAGACAATTACGATCAACTCAAAGTTATTATAAATGATGATGATAAAAAAAGGCAAGCTATTCAATATGGCATAAAAATTCAAACTTAGCCATTGATATTAGAGTAGGTTGAAATTATGGATCCTAGCAATTTACTACTAAAGAGAAATGTTTATCAGAGTAGAGAAGTACTGGAACTAAAGAATAATAAAGATTTTAGCTAGCAGGTATATAAGTCATTTTATGAGGTAGCACCGATAGATACATGGGGCATTTTTATTTGGAAAAATGAAGAGATTCTAGCTTTAAAGATGCTCTAAGTATTTGCTGAGTAGGTAAAGCTACTTGATTGTCTGGATAAAAGGATGCAAAATCCACCCAAAATATTCACTTTAAGTTATGCTGAAGATATAAATGAGTGGTTCTAATATTTAAAGGAAAAAATTGTTGAGCAGGCAAAGTTACTAGTGCAAACAGTAATTATAGTTTTACCAGACTTTCCAGACAGTAAAAAAACAAACCTATTCAAAAGAGAAATAAAAAAGTTGATGAATAGCCAGATTCCTGTATTCTCTGTAATTATGAAATCAAAGTAACTTAAGATAAGACTTAAAAGATAGGACTTGTTCAACATTAAATGCCAAAGTGTACTGTTTAAGGCTGTAGTGAAATCTGGGTCTACTCCATTTATATGCTAAAATCTACCCTTAATGGAAAAGCCAACAATGATACTAGGTCTAATCAGAGATAATGATGGAATATCAGTCTGTGCTACTCTGAATAAAGAATTATCATAAATATATGGTAACTTCATTCCAAAACACGATATACTTACTTTAACTTAGTTATTAGAGGAAGCATTTTGCTCATTTAAATCAAGTTAAAATGTGTTTCCTTAAAAAGTAATAATATACAGATAGATATCTAAATATAGAATTTATCAAAGTGATTAGGATATTTAATGTGAAATTAAGCTTCTAAGGGGTATTTCAGAGAAATATAAGGAGGCCTCTCACCCTTTATTCAATAAACAAGACCTGATATTTATCACAGTAGATTAAAATTTTCAATATTTGCCAAAATTATTCAGTTTCGACAATTTGTTCAAATATGTTGTTAACTCATAAAGTGATTTGCTCATAGATAATCTTCCACTAGTTTCGAAGGATACCTATGCATTCTTTATCATAAAGCAGCCAAAGTAAAAGATTGAACTTGATGCAACTGGATAAGAATTATAAATATTTTAAAATGATTATTAAAGCTGTCATACTACTTATTTCCATGTCAGACATGACTCAACTTTTAATTCAAAAGATAGATTGTGTGATAATAAAGAACTTAAGCAATTGACCAATCGACTCAGCTATTGTTCTTATGAAAAATTAGGGAGTTCTGATGTTCCATGTGTCATTGATTATGCACTAAGGCTGAGAAAGTATTTGACCTTGGGTAAAATTGAAGATTAAATTGAAGTTATGGAGGTGCATCCTAAATTAAAGGCAAATAATGGCTTTTACTTTCTTTGATCCAGATATAATAAAATCAAATACTGTACTATTTTCAATCTCAATTAATTAAAAATTAAACGACATATTGACCTATTACTGATATTAGATTAGATTGATGGGGTTTTGGGGTTTTGGGG